CTTTTACCAAAAGCATGACAATGAGTACAAGCTGTGGTGTGGATATTGCCATTCCAGCATATATTGTGGTCCCGGTTTCCGTTCACGAGTAATTATGTTTGGTAGAAGGCACCTTGCTACGGCCTGACTTTGTGCCCACCAGGAGAGCCGCAAAAAAGCAATTCAACACGTTTCCGTGACCACCACTGCTGACACGGAGAAGCAAAGCACAGAAACATGACAGCTCAACCAAGACAAATTTGCCAACCAGGCTCCAGGGAAGAAAAATAGGAAACCTCCAAAGGCTATGAAATAAACTCGTAGAGCATGGGAAAGCCTGCAGGTTGCAAAAGCATTCCCCTTATTTCCAGCCTCTGCAGGGACTTGAACAGTGACTTCCCTGACGGGTGATTATTTCTGGAGAGGGTGAACAAAACCAGACATGGCAAAGACCCCCTCAGGATGCCCACCTACACCTTCCTCCGAGCCAGCTTGAGCTCACATCATTTTAGACAGCCAACGATGAATACAGAGCTGAAGCAAGGCTCTGTTTACTAAACGGCGCATGCTTTCAGAGCATTAAAAATAAAATAACTTTCCAAGTTGGATGTCAATTGCATCTATATCCCACACATTGAACAGAAGCCCTTACTCTCCACTTCAGCTGGGGAAAGTATCCTGGTTTTGCTTTCTCTCCCAAATCATGGGGATTTTCTCCCCACTCCATGACAGCATTATCAAGGGCCAAACCAGAGCTGCTGGTGAAGCTGGATTAACTCAGAAGTCAGTCCTTCCCGCTGCTGCACCTGGAGTGGGGCAAACTGTGCAAAGGCCAGCTCAGCTGCGCGTCCAGGGGATGTGGCATCCTCCTCAGTCCCCATCACAAACCAGAAGTCCTGACTGGCGGGTGACAGATACTCTCCATGTAGCTGAAAGTGCAGCTTGTACTATGGGACACTGAGATTTTGCCACTATCAGGAAACTCTGTGGTGTGGTAACTCTCCTGCTACCTCGGGTGTGAACTCACAGGGTACAACTGGCACAGTAAGGTCCTCTGGACTCGGAGACTCGAGGCTGGGTACCGTCTGTGACTGGTGCTGCCGTGTTTCACCAGTCAATTCTGTGCTACGCAGTTCCCATTACACGGAGACCTCAGTTCAGGGGCGGGAATGAGAGGGGGAGATCTCTGCCTTAGGGAAAAATGATACTTCCTTTCGTTTCTGCCATTTAATATTGTACTTTACGAGGTGTTTCCATGTGCAACTGTCAAGGCATATTCTGTCCTTTTTGTTACAAAAAAATTCATGATTTGCCTATGAAAATCATCAGCTTCGATGGACTGCAAACCCATTACGCAAGCTCTCAGTTTGTCTCTAAGGTAATTCCTTCTCTAGCCTTTTAGTGCCAGTTCCACCCAGGTATTTTGGCTCCTACCCATGGAAACGAGGCCTTTGAAGAGTTTCTGTACCTGAGAGTCTAGCAATCTATTTTTCAGACGAGGACAGATTTCAGATCCATCCTTCTAACTCCGCTGTTAAACAGCCATTAATAGTTCGCTAGATCATTATTGTAAGCTTCTATATTTGACTATTAACAGCAACTGCATGTGCGTATCAGCTCCAGATACAACAAATGTACCTAGGGATTGATTTTATGATGCCAAAATGATAAAGTTTGCTAAAAAATGTAGAGTGAATGTGTAAACTCTGGAAAACATTAACAAAAATAACTAACACCCCCTATTCATAGCTAATTCCTACTCACATCAAATTTAGGTGTGTGTACTTTGGACCTATTGGAACTGTTACAGTGAAAAAATCTTGCTGCACAAGTCCTCTTTGAAATGTACAATATTTTTTATTCTGATTACTCTGTAAAAAAAAAAAAAAGGATGTTTTGTCATCACTGTAGTTTAGGCAGATTCCAGATTCTCCATTGTCTGGTGTCTTGTTATAGTCATTTATATCAACACAGAGTGGGTGTACAGTAGCCAGCAGTCTGTGTTAGCAGCATTTTTTATTCTGTTTGCACTTACGTAAATGATTGTGCAAGATGTCAGAGACAATCTAGCCCCCGGGAATTCTATGTGTTTTTGGGCGTAATCTTTATGTGTGTAGCCAACACATCAGAATATAGAGAAGTTTTAACATGTTACAGTTGCCATGACCCCAAATAAATATAATTAACCAAGCAGCTTTCAGTTGTACTTCTAGACAGGATCCAAAATAGCTCATGGTTTGTGGTGGCAGATATATAGGAAACACGAGCCTGTAAGGAACAATATATTGCTTTGTTTTTCATAGCGCTGTTCACCACATTTTCATAATGGTCAGATAAGAAACGCTTCAGGCCAAGGAAGGGTTAGGAAAGTGCATTCCGAAAAACATAAAGCCTACAGAGTTTTGTAGGATGCCTCTTTGCAATTCAGAAGAAAACTCTGGTGAATTATGTTACGCTTCAGCTGATTTAAACTCTGGATTAGAGAAGCTGGTATCATGGCAATCGCTTGGACAGCCCAGTCCAGAAAGAAAACGGTATTAAGCGATGTTTATAATATGGGGCCATGTGTTCCTTCCTTTTACCACAGAGCCGTAAATGTTGCATATCCCACTTTGCAAGGCAAGGTGTCCCAGGAGATATATTAACAATATTGGGGGCTAGAGGAAATGGAGGCACCTTACCTGTGTGCTCCCCCGAGGGTCTGGCATGTGTTGGCTTGGAAATCTTTGACAAGACTCAAAAGTACTATTAAAGCTTTTCTGTAGCTTTTTTTTTTTTTCTTTCAGAGCTGGTGACAGCGTGTAGGAAAAGGGCACTTGCTGGTGGCAGCACGTCTCATACCCACAAATATTTGGTGCCAAGAAAGAATAGCTCTTCAGACCCTTGGGGAGCGAAGTCAGGCCCAAGGATGGCCTAAACATTCCCGAGGTGTCCGTGTCTCTCTCTGCAGAAGTCTGGGATCTCTGTTTTGCCCAACTGCAAACCACAGCCGCGGGCAGAAGAGCAAAGCAAGAACCGAGGAGGCAAGCCCCAGCTGACGTTTTGCTGGATGCTTTCACCTCCTGAAGTTTCCCTTGTGGCAGGGCATCGCAGGTTTTCAGTACAAGGCAATGATGTCTAAATGTCAGCAAAAAAATCTGCTTTCCTCTAACCCAGTGCTTGGAAACAGATGAACCAGTTTTGCTGAAACCTTAAACATACTCAGCATGAGGCAGTTTCCCTCAGAACAGAATTTTTTTCCACCTGGATGGTTTAGATTTGGCAAAATCATAATCAGATTAATATAGGGATGTAGGATGGAAAATGATAAGCTCCTGCCAGCTCTGCCTAGAATAATAGTTTGTATGCTGTCCACTCCTTTTAGACCAAGATTTGTCTTGTTCTGCTACATCTTGTGGACGCCTTTGAGACTGACCTGCCTTAATGTTTATTACGGTTGTAACTCATTTAGTAAATCAAATCATGACGGTGAGGAGGAGGAAGATGTGAGAAGTGAATATCTAACAGATGAGTTATCTGGAAGACAGCAGCACCAACTGACATCACCCCGCAACGCGCAGTGCCTCTGTCTGGAGCAGTCTGGCTTCCACGGCGCTAGGAAAATCAGCGAGCTGAACTCCCTCCTGTTTCCTCCTTGGAAGGTGTTCAAGGCTGCGGCCTCACCTCTTCTGGAAGAGTCTTGAAATGTTTTCAATAATGGGAAGGGGTGGAATAGCTGTGGGCTGGATCCTCTTGGAAAGCGCCCTGGGTGACGCTGCTGGTAGCCCACTCCGGCTGTTAAAAGATGGGCTCTGCTGGATTGCTCGCGAATTCTGTACAGCCAAATGCAGTGATTCCAGCTAGGAATGATTCATCTCTGGTGTGACTCTCCCGAAGTCGGCAGTGTCACAGAGGGTGCTATTTTGGGCAAAACACCCATTTCTGAAAGCAAAAACCGGGCAGGTACCATGCAAAAAAAATACACATTAGTGGTAACAGAGGCTGCGAGGCAAGGAAAGACTTCTGCGCTTCGAGGCTCGTTTCACTGCCAAAGCGCGGGGTGGTTCACGCGTCGCCCGGAACAACCACGCCAGGCACCAGGCACCT